AACACTAAACAGTTTGGTGAAACTTGTAAAACTTTTGGCGGGATGAGAATCGTTTGTATTAAACGGATATTTAAGATTGCCATACGTTGATTATAGCCATCGTATAAATGAAAGGTTGTTTTTAAATATGTCGGTTAATACTGTGGATAAAAGAGTTCTTTATAGTGTCTTGATCAGTTGTATCGAAAAATAAAATTAATTAATATACTTAGTTTTTCGTTATATTATTATAATATTTTATGTTTAAACAATGTTTAGCCACTAAAATTTTATTTAAAAGAAATGTATGTATTGTTTAATAATATATATTTCAAGTTACGGTAAAAACCGGAATTGACATTATAAGAAATCCAATAACGCCATTCACTCCAATCGATCACGAAAATTGTCTTTGAAATCGAACATTCGTTGGTGTATACAAGAATGATAAAGAGTAGCGTTACATGCGAAATTTCGTTTTAATTTCGTTTGTAAACGAAATTTCGTTTTCGAGAAAGCGTAATTGTCTTTCTATTCTACTAAGTGACATACGATACAATTCCAGCTAAAATAGAACTGAAATTGTATCGTATGTCACTTTGTAGAATAGGAGAACCATTAAAAACTGTAGCTTCTTTCGGTTTCGATCCGTTTTCGATTCGATTTAAACAAAATTTATTTAGTAGAATTGGTCCAATTGATCAAACAAACTGAACAATCGAAGTTCGATCAATTTTATATGAATACGCTTCAGTCGAACAGATATCTACGAATAAATCTATACTAATATTATAAAGCTGAAGAGTTAGTTTGTATGTTTGTTTCATCGCGCTAATCTCAGGAACTATTGGTTCGAATTGGCTTTAGGCTATATAACATCACGCTGCAACTATTAGAAGCGAAGAAATAATGGAAAAGACTCGGACGAAGTCGCTGGCGGCCACTAGTAAAAAATAAAGACAATTCCAATTTTAACTGAACTACCTTCTGTATCATCGTTAACCTTCTGTATATAACAAAATTTATAAGGTCAATAATTTATAATTTATTAAAAAAAAAGAAAAAAAAATTAAAGTGTTAACCTTTAAATTTTTTCCATTATTATTAAATGATTATGTTATTATTATAAGACCATAGTTTTTTTTTTTTTCTACCTCTGTTTATAATGTATTGATCTGGTTTTTGTAAATGTCATTACTCTTATTAGAGCTGGTGAGTTTCTTGCTCGTTCTTCTTATCAGCCAAAAGACGTCCTGAACGAGTGGTAGGGAAAAAATGTTGGACGATTCAAAAGAAATTTTAAGAAGTCTATTTGAATAAAGATTATTTTGACTTTGACTTTGACTTTGACTTCAAAGGCATTTTGTACTGCCTGTATTGATTTTTTTCCCGCCAAGAATTTATCCAAATTCTGGAAAAAGTAGATGTCTGTAGGCACAAGTTCTGGTGAGCACGGCAAATGACGGAGAAATTCCAAACCCAGCTCTTGTAGCTTGGAGACCATCTGCTGTGCAGTATGAGGTCGCGCGTTGTCGTGCAAAATGGAGCCGAACGATTGACCAAAGAGATGTGCGAGCTTCTCCATCATTGTATTCAGTTATTTAAAGTACATATCTGCAGTAATGTAATGAATAACACCCGCGTTAGACCACCAAACAAACAGTAACCATCACTTTTGTAGGGGTAAGTTTTCGTTTAGGGCATTGTTTGGGTACGCTCTAGATAATCTCTCAGAGAAATATTTAAAGAAATAAATATTTTGACTGTTGCCTCTCAATACATCTATGAAAATATTATGTACGTAAGAAAACTTTACGATTCCTTCACAAAAAAAGTAGTGCTCTTAATCTTAACACAAGAAATAAAAATAAACTTGCCGTTCCAAGCTTCAGACTTCAGAAAACCAGAGCATCATTTCTGGGTAAATGCATTACTATGTCCAATAAAGTTCCAACAAATGTAGTTGACCTACCCATAAATAAATTTAAAATTCATGTAAAGAACATGCTTATGAGTAAAGGCTATTATAAAGTTGATGATTATTTTAACAATCGCAATGCATGGAATTAATAGCCCTCGCTTTGTTCTATAAAGACTAATTATATGTTCACCCTATGTCCTACAGACTTTGAAAGTTGTATTTATTATTGTGATAATACATATTATTTTGGTAATGATATGATTTATGTAAATCTCATTACTTATTATAAAGAGCTGGTAAGTTTCTTTCGCTTGTTCTTCTTGTCAGCTAAAAGACGTCCTGAACAAGTGGTAGGGGAAAAAAATGTTTTGGACGATTCTAAAGTGCTTGTAATAGCCTACTTGAATAAAAATATTTTCATTTCATTTCACTGAAACAGGGTCCAACAAAAACCCCTGCTGTTGTTTGTTTGATATTAAATATATATTTGATTTAATAGTATAACCGAGACATCTATTTAACTATGTAAACTCCACATGCTCTTGGAGAAAATGACTACTCCATTTCTCTACAAGATAATATTGAATCCCAGACCACAATACCTAGCCCATTATTACATTTGGGGCCTTTTACTTATAAATATGCAACAGGACCGATGTTAGAGTTACAGCTGTTAGAGTTAGACGTGTTCACTAAATTGGGAGAGGAGTGTGTTGAGAGGACGGCGGCAGTATTAACTCCATCTATTGTGGAACCTCACATTGAGCTATGCACTAAAGAAACTTAAGATACGGCATATGTAACATAAGTATAATCAACGGTACTATGGATGTTATGGATACGGATGTTGATGAGAATGTGGATGTAGAATTACACTTATAAGGGCTCAATTAAAAAATATATATATATAAAGTTAACACTACATAATGTGAGGCAGCTTAGTGCACTTATTAAAAGTGCTTATGATGAAAGTGATAAAGATGTAAATTTGTTCTAATTATTTGATCAATTTTTAATTAAGAATATACATATTTCAATATAGTATTGTGAATGCAAAAGGGATCAAATATAATAAGATCTGCTGTATTTTAGACTATTCTACTGTATACTGTAATGATAAAATACAGTATATGAATAATATGCTGTAAATTCAAAAAAATACAAGACCTACGTTCAGTAGTCGAGTTCAATGAATTCAAGAAATATAAGAACAAAACAGAGGAATTTTCTTATTTGGACATTCCAAAAAAATCTCCCTATTTAATCCCAGTAAGGTAAGTAGCTCGGTGGCGTAGTGGATAAGCGCCGCAGTCCGTGATCGTTGTCGTTAAGTAACTTTCGCAAGGGTCGGTCACGGGATGGGTGACCAAAAATTATTATCTCGAGCTACTCCGTGCTTCGGAAGGCACGTTAAGCTGTTGGTCCCGGCTGCATTTGCAGTCGTTAATACCCTCCAATCCGCATTGGGCCAGCGTGGAGGGTCATGGCCCATCCCCCTTAACCATCCATAAGGAAGGCCTGAGCTCCTGCAGTGGGGTCGTAAAAGGGCTGATGATGATGAAGGTAATATCAAGGATGACCCCAAAAAATTATAAATATCATGAGCAAATCATTCTTGAGTAATCAAACAGTAACTTGTGTTTATAAACTAATAAACTAGCATATTTTTATTAATTGTTTAAATTAAGTTTTCCTTTAATTTTAACCTTTGATACCTATCTGCTGTATTGTATAGATACTTTCCAATACATTCCAAAATATAATATAGCATTTTTCAACCAACAATATCCTCAATAAGGGGTGTCAAGATTAATTTAACTTAAAAAGGACCTCCACCGGTTTCAAGGTGTCGTCGTTTCTGAGGTCCCTGTTTTGATTCCAGGTCAGGTCAATGTAAACAATGAACTTTTCTATATCGTCTCGGGTCTGGGTTTTGTAGCATCTTCGTTGTCTCAGATACTCCATAATGAGGAGGTCTTTAGTTACTTATCTTGGGATCTGAGCAATGTATGTGATGTTGTCCCATAGGTATTACTGCTGGTATACTTTTAAGATTTATTTTAGTTATTTATTTGGACCACGAGGAACACACAATAATCATGGCATTTAGATGATAATAGTAATGTAAACATACAAAAATACAGACCTGCTACTGAGTGGCGTGTAACTAAGGGAAATAACAAACATACAAAATGCAAAACATTATTATAATCGACCACATAATGCTTTAAAAATATGTATTAACAAATCTAATGATAGAAGTAAATGAAATGCTTGTCTCCTATTCTTAGTGTGACGACTCTGAAAATAATTTTGGAACTTGATTTACACAGAAATAGATAATGGTGCTTGTTTTAAGTTTGAATTATTGACATACTGTAAAGATCGACTTACGTTGCGACGTAAATTTTTTAATAGCTTACACTGGCAACAAAGATGTGTAAATTCTTTAACAATATCATCCATATCTATTTTAAGGATTTTAATAAAATTATAAAAAAGGATACTGGGATAATATCATTTCACTTAAATACAATTATAGATAAATCTGAATTACAAACGACAAACTATAAATCAATCACTAAAGTAAGGTATGAAAAATCCAGCTGTCATTTTCAACAAATTGAAATTCAATTGATGAAATATGTTCTATATAAATAAAAACAATTCGTAGTCTAATTATAAAAGAAACACAATAAGATTAAAATAACGATAAAAATAAATTAAAAAATATTTTCAATGGAATAATTAAAATAATGGAATAAGAATAATACACTTCCCATTTTAATTCCCAATATGTTGGAAAATATGAATTACGGTATCTATGTAGTTTCTTTTGGCTATTCTGTAGTCAAAGGGGTATTTTAAAAATGGAAAACTCTTAATTCAACTCACTCGGGAATTTTTGGTTTGAACCGGTAAAACTGATATTGTATCTATATGTTTCAATAACTTCAGTTAAAGTTGTATTATTTTGCAAAAACAATGTGTCTATTAAATCAATTGTAAATAGAAAAAAATATTTGATAATTTAACGTGGTTCAGTGAGGACTTTTCCGTAATTCTGCGCCTTTCGATTTGCTCCATAAATCCTTTGGTTTTAAATCTATTATATTTCAGTGATTTCGTAAATTACGTTTACATTCCATTTTTACCAAAATATATCTTATCTATCGAATAACAAGATAAAACAAATGTATATATGACTTTGTTTAATCGTGTAGACTTTAAATCTAATTAGGTTTTAGTAACATGGCAATGAAATCTGGCTTTATTGTTTTCGCTGCCCTACTATTGGGTTGTCTGGGTAAGTTGTTATTTTGCTATATATTTATTTTAATTCTCAGGATATAAGCTTACATAGCTTATAAATAAAAAAAAGGCTTTAAAATCGTTTTGTTTATTAATGAATTTTGTTTCCTATTTCTGGTAGACACTATTCTGTATTTTTTTGTCAAAAGTAAGCTCCGCCTAACTACAATTTTTATCAAAATCTGTACACGTTTCATCAAACTGATTCCACACTCTTTAGTAATCAAATGTCAAAACTTTCGTATTTTATAAAAAAAAACAGTCTTCTAAACTCTAACGAACAATTAAAGATAACATTTAAATTTAAGAATAACAGGACTGATTATCGTGTCTTATATCGTCGAAATAAAAAACCTAATCCACCATGTACGAACCATGAAGTTCTATTCAACTTCATGCCAACATGGTAGGAATAAACATGGGTGTCCAAACATGGACTCTAAACCAATAACTTTGAGCATTTTTTAACCCATGTGGCTGTCACAGCTCGAATTTGGTGATAGCAGATGCAGCTTAATCGTCCGTTAAATCGATTTCTGTATTTGGATTTCTCCAAAAACTATTTGTAATATTTTCTGGGTCAACAAAGAGGTGGAAAATCATATCTAAACACATAGAAGGACTATCGCTAAAAAAGTTTGCGGAACTCTTTGGGAGAGTAGAGTTTTTAGCCTTGCTTCTGGTCGCTACAACTACTCTTCAGTTCGTGATGTCTTTTTGAATCTTCAAGAAGAAATGTATGAGTTAGTTGCTGCATCAGAAGCTATATCACTGATTCAGACCATGGAGCAATCTGAATTCATAGTTACAACAGTTTATAATACCAAGCCACCATAGCTTGGTATGATATAAAATGAACGTCATGGCTTAGTATGATATTGACGTCAAAAGTATAGTCATCAAATCATTGACCTAATGCACATGTTTTTTTTATTTCTTAATCGTTTTTGTAGTTTTTAAATACCTCGTTTGACCTCTTTTTTTGAGTCAGTTATAAATAATCAATAATTAATTAATTGTTACTAAGTAACCATATAGAAGGAACTTTATTTTTGTAAGGAGAGGGGCGCCACCATGAAATCTTGCACCACCTAAAAATTAAGCTGATGACAGTCATTTATAGTTGTTACTCAACTAGCAAAAATATATAATATAACAAGCACTCTTACCTCTTTAGATCGAAAAATACCTCATGATCTATCCTATTATTTCATAAAGCTGTATAAAAAGCATCTTTTTTTCATAGCTTTTTACACGTTTATTTAACGTGGATTCGACAAGTTCATAATGCAATTCGATTATTGTATAAAGATATCTCTCGATTGCCTTAAAATTGCAAAATTTTCATCAAACTAGCTGTTATAGAACTATCTTTACATCCATAAACAGCTGAATTAGAAACGTGCTACTAGCTTATTTACGATAAAGTTTGCTAGTTCGTAGTTCTTCATTTCGTTAGTAGCTTGTTTGACATATGGATTATACAAAGTCAAATATTTATGTCGTAAAATAGAATATCAAAATTTATATACGTAATTGAAATTGTTAACCTAATCTAAATCAGTGCTCGCTACTACGTATTGACGATAAATATTTTATTTATCTAAATAGGTGTGTAATCTTAATCTGCTCTAATGAAATAATGATTATCTGTTAATATTGTACAGATACTTATTGCACGATTTTCAAAACAACAGACATAATGAACATACATCGTTCTTTAAATGATTATGATAACTATGATAATTAGATTGGTACCTAATCATTAAAAGTGATTGAAATGTGTGTACGCAAGATGTACGCAATTTCATATATTTTGATAAAGCTATACGTTCTTCTTTTGTTTTAAAACATACATCAGACGAGCATAAAACCTTCTTTTTAATTTAGCTGATTATTCTTCTATCAAATTAATACAAATCAATTTATTTGATAATTAATTCAAAATTAAATGTTAATTTATATTGTGTACTCAATGATTTTCTAAATTTTTGAAATTAACACAGCTTTGCCAGCACCCGATACGGACTTTGAACAATTCTTCGAGCATGTGTATCCGAATGCCCAGAACCGTATCGTAGGGGGCACCGCCGCTCCCACGGGCGCCCACCCTCATATGGCCTCCATGACTAGTGGATCATTATTCACAAATTTAGTTTGCGGGGGCTCCATAATTACTCAACGAACTATTCTTACTGCCGCTCACTGTATCGCTGCCGTCTTCAGTAGAGGATCCCTTAACAGGTAGAATAAAATATTATAGATGAAAACTCATGATGTATGATTTAATTTTAGGCATTCAGGACCAATTTAAATACAAAGGCATTACCAATTGTCACATTACGATCCGTGTGCAAAATGAAACCTTTTATTTGGTTAGAAAAACCGAAAACAAAACGAGTCTATGATTTACAATAACGAACATATTAAGATTTGTGCACAGCTTAAAAACTTTACTTGTAGTTATGAAACTTCTACCAGTAACTTTAAGCATCTTCCCGTCACTTCATCCTAAAACACTTGATGTTATAACAACTAATTTTAAAATTTTCGTATTTTCATTTTTGTTTTCGCTACTTAACTGTACCAATGTTTTATTAATATTTTTCTGCATTTCAGCAATCTTAGAGTTAGAGTCGGCTCAAACCACTGGAACCAAGGTATTGCTCACAGAGTCTCATCCAATGTAACACACCAGCACTACGTGTCCTCTATCATTAAAAACGACATAGGAATATTAATCACTGAAACAAATATTGTCTTCGGGAACCTTGTCAGACCCATCGTGATCGATTTCGAATATGCCGGTGCTAACATCGAGTCCAGAGCAGCTGGTTGGGGCAGGATTCGTGTGAGTATCTATTTAAAGATTATTAGGCAAAACTTTTAAATGACACCATATAATTACTTCATTTCTAAGCTACAGAACAACACGTAACATTCGACATCTATCGATTCGATCCCGAATTGAAAATGATATTCAATTAGCTCATTACCGTTACGAACACATATACGAGTTATAACGATATTACGTTATGAAATCAAATCTCTTTTTCAATTTTTTCTCTTTCACTTATATAGGCAGGTGGTTCTATATCGGCGCAACTGTTGGAGTTAGACGTACTCACTATATCTGGAGAGGACTGTGTGGCGGGCGTGGCAGCGGTGATAAGGAATGCCGTTGTAGAACCCCACATCGAAATATGCACCATGCATCCTAGAGGCTCAGGACATGGCATGTGCAATGTAAGAACTTTTAATATTCAATATTTCCTTACCTCATTTTTTTTTTATCAATATCCAAACTGTAATCCCTAACAACAATCGATTTCCAGGGCGACTCTGGCAGCGCTCTAGTCCGCCGTGACCGTGGCACTCAGATCGGCATCGTCTCGTGGGGCATCCCTTGCGCGCGCGGAGCCCCCGACATGTTCGTCAGGGTCAGCGCATACAGATCATGGTTAGAGCAACACGTGAGGAACTAAAACCATCAATATTAAACCTCCCTTTTTGTACATAGCAAGTGAATAAAACATTGCCACAATTTATATACATTAATATTTTTTATGCTTTACTAAATATCGTGCCAGTAACCCTTTATACGAGCGTTTGTAATTACAATTATTAAATTAATATTTTCAATATGGTATACAATAAATACCTGGGCCTGGTGGATTTTTCAAGCATTACCAGTCAGGGCCGGATCTAGGGGGCTAGTGACATGGGGTGCCAAAATCATAATGTACCTAATGCAGTCAAAAAAAGGAGCTTTACAAAATTATAAACCCATAATAGGGTTATTCCGTATTCATCCTTTGACATCGCATCCTACACATTATTTTTTCCTTACTCATCCTATTTATGTTCCTTACTCAAAATACAACAATTTATTTCATTTTAAATTTCTTCTTCATTCCATCAGTATTCCCGACTCATCCTTTTTGAAAATCACCTATAAATGCAAGAACGATGTGATCTGTGTACGATCTGAACAAAAATATTATCTTTTATTTTTTTATCGGGTTAATTCTTGTCCATTGTTGTTTTATTAGTTAAAACAATAAAGATCGGATAAAATTATATGTAATAAACTGAGAAACTAAAAGTGATAAACTTTGCATTCACAATTCTACATTGAAAATTTTCTTTCTTAAATTTAATGGGAAAATAACACAAATAAATTATGTTTCCACAAATAATTAATATCAGTAGGTAATAAGTATTTTTAAAATAAATTTAAAATTCATTTATAATATTAGATAAATATTTCTATTACTTATTAATAATCTTCTGAAAAAATAATAAATGTTGTTGTGCTATCTATATTTTTGTAATGTTTACTTCGGGATGAGTATAAATGAGGATGAGGTTAAATTAAGAAAAATATTCATTGGTTGAATTGGGAATCCAGAGTTTGTAATAAGTAAAGAAATTGAATGAGACGTCATAGAATGAATACGGACCACATTATAAACTACCATGGAAGGGATATGACAAAAGATAAAGAAATCATAAACTGCAAAAGCATGTCATACAAAACCGGTATCACTGAGCTGGGGTAGGGGGGTTAATGGGCGTAACAACAAATTACTGCCTCAGTCAGAAAAAATCTTACAAAATATTTAGCATTATCAATGCAAAATTGATGAACTACAGTATTATATTTCTCCAATTTTATCTAGATATCCTGAGATTGAATTTTTCATTTTTCTTTAAAGTAGATTCTTAATATATTCTGTATTTATATTTGACCAATTCTGGGTGGATTGCCTGAACATTGATGAAAATATGCTCTGTAGTAGCGAAAAAGTTACAAGTGCTTGAAAAATTGGATAGTCTTGTTAGCTCAGTGGTTAGAGTAGTCGCCCAGATTGCGAAAGATCGTGGGTTCGAGTCCCATCTCAGGGTGCCACTGACAAAGTGGATTTATCAGCATTTTTCATTTAGAATATTCAGTATTCTTAAAATATAAACAAAAAATGTAGAATTACATTTTTTAACATAATTTAAATCAGTGCGCGCTACGTATTTGCGATAAACTATTTATCTAAATAGGTGACTAATTTTAATCCTCATTAATGAAACAAATATAACTTATTTACGTTCTGTATAACGACATCGCTCATTGATGGAATATGATAAAATATTAATCAGGTAGTCAGGTACGTAGTTGTTCGATAGTAGTCGCGATCGAAAAATGAATACTCATAGATATAATTACGTATAACATTTATGTAGATAACGTCCTGATTTTTTTATATAATCAATATTTTGTACCTACGGATAATGTTTAATAAAAATTTATATATAAACTAGCGGACCCGGCGAACTACGTACCGCCATATTTTATTTCTCTAATCGCAACTGATGAAAACCCTTCCGGTAAAATCGAATTAGCTAAATTGAAAATAAAACTGGAGTACTCAATTGAAAAATTCATATTGTTGTACAAAATCCGGGGCGTGCTTATTATAATTACTACAGGTATACTAAACTATCAGTTATAATATTTACACCAATGAAAATCAAGCCCCCACGCTTTTTGTACAACAATATGAATTTTTCAATTGAGTACCTACTCCAGTTTTATTTTTAAATATTTAGTTTAATCAAAAGCGTGTTTTTTTTTAAACTATAATTTATTAAATGTAGATTTTATTTTTCTTATATTTAACTATTCTTTATAAACAACGCCTCTTTACAAAATATATACATTTTTTGTATTTGATAATATTTAAAAACTCAAATTTATAAATCTACCTCATTTATAAATTTGAGTTTTTAAATATTATCAAATAACATTGATTTTGACCATTTGTTTCCATTTATTTATTTTTTTTAATTTATGTGTATTTACAACCTAGATGTCACACGATATTGAAGAATTTGATCTATGAATCAACGTACACCGCCATCTATGAGAACTTCATAAAACTAAACAGTGAATAAACAGTTGCTTAAGAAACAATTAATTAGTACATTTTATTCGTTTACATTCACGACACAAGCGTATAATTGAGATGATAACTATCATATCCAGTAAGTTAGACCAAAATACGGGTACATGTGAAATTTGATAGAAATCGATTCAGTAGTTTTGGAGTTTATTGGCAACATACATCGTGACACAAAATTTTTATATATATGTAAGAATTTAAAAGATAGGATTTAATATTTCTAAATTCTATTTCCATTGTATCCCTACTCAATGATTTATTTTACCTTTTGAAAAATGTATAGCTTTGTCAGCGCCTGATATGGTCTGATCAATTCTTCGAGCTTGTGAATCCAAATCACCAGGACCGTATCGTAGGGGGCCCCGTCGCCCCTACAGGCGCCCACCCCCGTATGGTTATAAGGGTTATTAGAGCATTATTAACTTATTTAGTTTTACGGTAGCTTTTCACTTACTCAACGAACTATTTACAAATTTTGCAGTACTTAATCAACGGACTATCCTAATTAGCAATTATTGTATCGCTATCGTTTTCGGTGGAGGATCCTTGGCTAAAAAGACAAAAAAAAATATCAAGGAAAAGTTTATAACATTGTGTTAAAAGTTTTTATTGTTTGTATGATTGATATATGAGATATATAATTATCGATTATTTTTACATTTACGGAGTTCATGTCCGCAAAAATTTACTGTACCGTTACGTGTTTTTTACATAAATCTTTAGCTGTAATAGGTACAATTTGTTACATCTGATTGTCAATTATTTTCACATTGTAGCGTAAATTCAAAAATTACAGCGTGATAACAATAAAATAGATTTAACTCGGAAAAGTTTTCATTTCATGAATATTTACGATTTTAAGTGTAATTTGAGAGGTCAGTCAAGCTTCGTTCGGCTTCTATTTGCTTTTGGCGAAGAAGCATCATGCAAGACGAATGTTTCACATAATTCAAACGCGGTCGTGTCAATCATCATGATGAAAATTCGTGTAGGTCGCCCGTGCATCACTGTAAATGACAAAAACATTGATGCTGTGTGAGACACACGATCGACCAAGTTAAGCTTGCAGGAATAACCAAGCGGCTTCAAATTTGATGTGGAACACACGAGTTTATAGTAAGTGGTGACGAAACGTAGATTAATAGCTACGATCCCAAAAAAAAGCGCCAATGACCATATGGGTGTTTTGAGATGAGTCGAAATCAACCAAAGTAGCGAGCGTGAAAAGTGCTTCGAAGAGGATGATTAATTTAATCAAATTTTCATTTTTATATATATATTTTTTTATTAACTTTAAGCAAATTTAATCAAGTTGTAATCGATTTAATAAAATTAGTTATTATTTAAACTAATTTACAAATTTAATTTATTAATTATATATTACAATTGGAATTATTTAATAGGTACGATGCATGGAATTAAATAAAGCTTTCTTATTATTATTATAATTCGAAATCAAAATGTCCTCCCACGTGTTTCTTGATTTTCATATATGCACTTATGTATCTTCAGGTAGCCTCAGATGAATATATCTCCTTCGTTATATCGATACTAGTTTATTAATTGTTGAGGCCCTAAATCACCTATAGATGCCCTAAACTTTAGGGCATCAGGGGGCCTTTCCCCACGACCGTTTTCACACATCCTTGTGAGCCATTTTACGTCCCCGGGTTATGTCATCAGAATACAGATCCGTTTCGTCACTCAATAAAGAATCGGTAATTAATACACACACACAATTAAGTTTCTTTCATAAAGTCGTGTGACACCCAAATATCGAGCTTTTACGTACCTATTTGTATGTACACGTTAAATTTCCAATTCTTCAAAAATGGCGTCTTTTTAGCCACAGTCAATAATAAAACGAATTACTATATCCGATTTTGACATAAAGAAATCAAATAAAATATAGAACATATTATATACGTAGTGTGAATCGTAGTTACGTAAATAGTATAGTAATAATGACAAACTAAAGCTGCTGAGGTTGTCGGACCGAAAAATTATTATTAAGAGCATCCCGGGCTGCGCAAGGCACACTAAGGTGTTGATTTTGACTGAATCTGCAGTTATTTATACCCACAAATACGGTGGTGGCGGTAAGTTATGGCTCTACAGAGCGACTCTGCAAAAATCTGAACCCGAATTCACTCATGTGTACGAATTAAAGTAATTTAGTGTAGAAATTCTATTTATTCCATTTTTTGTATAAAAGTAAAAAACCATATTGATTAATTGATATTCTATTCCTATTTCATTTCGAAACTTAGTTCACTTATTCCACGCTTATAACGTTGCGTTCAAGATTGAGCGGATGCCGCTTTTTGAAGTAAATTCGGACTACTGAGTGCAATTCGTGGTGGTTTGGATTTTTACAGAATCGCAGGGCAGTTCCTTATGAGATTCTATCCACAGGGATGACCTCATGTGACTCTGCAGTGGGGACATTTAATACAACGATGATAACGATGGTGACAATTTGTCTTTTTTTTATAAACAACCAAAAAGTTTCAATATCCTAACAACCCACATAAAAATCTAATTTAAAAATAGAACTAAAAAAGTAACAACCTTTTGTTAATATTTATATAACCTATACGTATATACATTACAAAGGTTATTAAATAATGCATTGCTATTTTTTTCAGTAAGGAGAACTTGATTACTATTCGTTTATTTGTATTTACAGAAAGTAAATTACCTTTAAAGCTGTCTAGATGTGCAAGTGTCATAATCTGAATAAATAGCAATGAAAATTTTGTTCCACATTATTAATATATAAATAAATATCCGATAAGTATGTATGACTCAAGTTGAGAGACGTACCACAATACCCAGACATGAGAACAACACGTACCGCAATACCCGGACATGAGACAATAGAAAAAAAGTTTTTATTCTACATAACCCGACCGGGAAACGAACCTGCGCCCTTGGATATTTCCAAGGGCGCAGATTCTTCTAGCATTTTTAAAAATATCTAAGTATCTTTTTTTGATACATTTTTAATGGAAAATTTGGTTGACCTATTTTGATACATTTTTAATTAAATACATTCTATTAAGTACAATTTAAAGTAGACCTTTTGGAAGCATTTTTTTATTTAGGCTGTATCGGAAAACATATTTATACCAAATCCTAAATAAACTACGATAGTAATACTACGTTCAAAAGGCGAAATTTCTAAAATAATGAAAAAAAATCCTCTAAAAATGAGAAAATAGGCTCATAATTCGAAAAATATTAATTGAATCAAAACGGTTATCCACAAAATTCCTTCTAGTAATTATAAAAAAAAAGTCTTTGTTATTGGTTAATAACAAAGAATATAAATATATAAAAAAGTGAGTCAATCTGTAGCCGAGGATTGGGATGAAGCAGTTTTACGATAATTGTATTTTTTGAAAGCTCGGTGGCGTAGTGGATAACCGCCGCGGCCCGCGATCGTTGTCGTTGAGCAACTTTCGCAAGGGTAGGACACGGAATGCGCGACCAAAAAAAAGAAAAAATTATCTCGTGATGCTCAGGGCCCGGCTGCATTTGTTAATACCAATACGCATTCTGCCAGAGTGGAGGATCATGGCCCATCCTCCTTAACCATCCATAAGGAAGGCCTGAGCCCCTGCAGTGGGGACGTAAAAGCGCTGATGATGATGATGATTTTTTGAAATCTGTATATAAAAAAATTTGCTTCTATATATATATATTATTTAAAAAAAATTAACTTAGCTTGGTTCCGTTTAAGGGATCAAATGAAGCGAAATGAAATTTTTGTCTATTTTCTTAAAATAACTTCAAAACCTTAAATTATAATAAAATATTGTTTATTATACACGATGCTTACAATACTATTTAATTTATACCTCGAAGGAAGGAAGTAAACATGGGATCTATGTTTAAAAACCCCTATGACAGACAAATTGTGTAAGAATTCCATTGTTTTTATGGAGATGGAATCGTAATAACAATAAAAAACCGCTTAAAATTTTCTTATAAAAGATAGAGTGTATTATTTTGAATTTAATAAATATTTCACATTATAAGATTGCAATCGTTTTTGAGTTTAATTTTCTTTATAATTTTGGATCTCTTTACATCGTAAAAGAGCCCGTATGTAGATTTAAGATAATTTATTTTATTAACGTCTCCTCGATATTTTATTTCCAAACCACTTACATCAATTCGGACTAAATTAAAAAAAAAATACCTTCCATTTTTGAACTACATACTTCAATAAAAACAATTGAATTGCTTATAACTTTTAAATTTAGTGTTTATATAACATATTGTATATTTAAGAATTTTCCTAATAGCATATTATGATTATATAAATAATGTGTTACCCAAAACAGACTGATAAAATATTTATAATAGAGGGTAGTTGCGACCTTATTTGTTCGTTATTCCACATACACCTCCGTTATATTATTCTGTCGAATCTTTTCTATCCAGCCACCGCCGCAGCACGTGGTAAGTTATTTTCTACACAATATACACGATGGTATTTTATGAATTATTTCTTTTTATTTACCGTCATTTACCATAACTTGTGGATAAGCATCTAAACATGTTTTCTCGTTGTTTATTTAAGATTATTTTGGAAAAATGGAACATGAAACCATTAACCCTGAGTCCGAAGTATTATATCCAGTATTGCTTATACCAAAACGGTGTACCACCCTGGAAACAAGCTGTGAGGTGACAGATAATGTGTTTATAGATTTGAACATCACTTCAGCTGACACCGAAGGCAACCAGATGTGTATTTACAACGGTTTTTGCAACGTAAAACTGATTGACAGTTACGATGTAAACATCCAAGAAACTGAACCGAATACGGACAGTGGCAGTTCAAGTTTTATTGAAAACGAGCAAGCTGTCAATGAAATTGGTAATCAAGTGGCAAGCGCTGCTTATAACCAATCTCACGTGTGGATAGACCCTGTCAGAAGTCCGTACGTGTATAATTCTTACAACGCCGCTGAGAGCCAACCAGAATATTCAGTTTGTCATCAAACTCGTTCAGCTCATATAACAGTCGAGCAACACAATACGTATATAACTCAGAACGTTTATAATTACAAAGAGTCCATACAATACTCCTCTCTTGAAGATTTTGAACACAAAAAGTTTAGAAAGTTGCCCGCTCCGGAGCCTATTCCAACAGTACAACAGAATTGTGATCAAAACAATTTGAATTTTTATGAAGAGGACGAATTTGAATGTGGCGTGTTCTTGTCACAATTGCCTGAAGAGATATTGAACGAGAAAGAGACTAGAGCTAGAGAAGAAAGGAAATATATAGGTTTGCAGAGTGAAAACGAAGCGTTGAAACAACTGATGTCTACTGATATACAGTCAGTGTCGAAACAAAGGAAAACTATACTATTTCTAGGACACGACTCCCATTTTGGGCAAACTATCCAGAAGATAGCCGTCAATGATCCATCTCTCGTGTGTTCTGGTGGAGAGATAGACCAAGAAGTTGTTATTGGTATGTGCCTTTTTCTATTTTGTATATATATATATATACTTTTTATTATTTCACAGTGGTTAGCGCGTTTGTGCTGTAAAGCAGATGTTAAATAACTTTTGCAGTGGTCAGTTTTAGGATGGGTGACCCAAGTTTTATTAATGTTAAACTTATACACTTTTGCATGAAACTGAACCGAATACTTGAAACTTTAAACCGTTGGTTCCGGCTTCATGTTGTATATTTGTATAAACAATTCAAAAACGAAAAATAATAAAAAATGTTTTATTCTGCTGAATTATTTGTTTCTTTTACATGAAAAAAAAAATAACTCGATTTATATAAAAACTAGTGGTTATATATTTTATCCTGCTAATTTAGAATTGTTGAAAATACAGAAATTATTTTACAAAGGTAAAGATAATCATAAACGTCAAATATATTTTGTTCAAATCAAATGAAGTTCAAATAAATGAAAAAAAAAAACTTAGACATAATGAAGACTTTGAGAAATTGAAATACTTACGCCATATTTTTTAGTATAAAACATAAAGTCGCGTTTAGTTCAATGACTAAAACGGTTTGTGACTTTTGATTAAAATGTTTTAACCGACTTCAAGAAAAGAGATTCCAAGTTTGACCTGTATGTATATTTGTGCCGATTATCTCGCGTTTGTCTGGCCGATTTTGATGCGGTTTTCAGCATAGTATTTGGCAGACTTAGGAGAAAGATTTAGGTATATTAACCGATTAAATACAAAAACAACGGAGGACCGCACTTTAACATGGGTTTGACGTGATTTTCAGAAAAGTATTTTTAGTGTCACCTATTTAACTATTTAATGAGTCGCTTTTGAGATAAGTATCACTATTCACTTTTTTTAAAGTTTGAAGTTGGTTCTTTTTTTATGAAAAGTTATCATGTTTATAACTTTTCATAAAAAAAGAAAGTGTTTAGTGACATTGAAATTTTTAATATACCTTTGCATCTGTTAACATGTTAAGAAAACTTTTTTCACTCTCAAAAAAGCACTAAAACATATAGGGGAGACCTAGGTGAGTTGTGACAGAGGTGAGTTGTGACAAGGAGGATTTCTCTCTACGTATTATAGTTAGCGAGATGGCATTAACGCTTGTTTGTCGTTCTCGACACGCGCTACACGACTCAGTACCTGTCGACGGTGCATGTGGCACAGTTGCGTAAATATATCGTCAGTGTACAAAAAATTACGAAAAGTAAGTTTTTCTTCAAAATATTATTTGAATATATATCATATCTTAGTATATGTGCATTGATGTGTTATTTTTTCTTAAGTTATGTAGTTATTTAAGTCTCAATACGTGGGACTGATTTTTTGTATGCGCATCATGTTTAGAAAATATGAATTATTATTCGGACCAAGACGTCATTTTGAACACCTAGGTGAGTTGTGACAGCCTGTCACAACTCTCCTATCTTACTTCATATTTCTGTTGGGCTATTTTTACAATATTTTTATTAACTTTAGATGTTTGTTGGTGTGTTAGTAGCTACTTAAGGTGTATAATGGCATACCGCATACTTATTTTTTTGAAAATGCCAAATAACTATACACGAGAGACTGAAAATCTAAGAATGTTAAGAAGCGTGCGAAGAAAAAAAAAGAAATCTAAAAAAGCAAAGAAGACTAATAAGAAGAATAGAACAAGTGATGAAGCAGATTGTGAAAATAATTGCTTTTATTTGGTTTGCCTTGAAACCTATGCAGACAGCAGATCGAATGATCAGTGGGTCCAAAGCCTGGAATGCAAAGACTAGGCACACGTAGATTGTACTGGGGACGAGCTGCATTACGTTTGGCATAATTGTGAATCTGATTAGATTAAGATTTTATACTGATTATAACAATAATATGATTGATCTCAAAGCGATACCATATTTAGTTAATGAAAATATTATAATTACTTGTTATGAGAATATTAATACTATGTTGCTTTAGTTGGTAGGTATTAAAAGATGATTAATCAAATCAAATCAATCTTTATTCTTGATCGCAGGATATAAAGATATTGGATGCAAGGACTGAATAGTTACACCGTGATCTGCCTAAAAGGCATATAATATTAGTAGGTTAGTAATTATCTACTAATCTAATCAATAACATGTTATGTCAAAAATTCAATTAATTCATTAAGTATTTATACATTTACAAAGTACTGTCAGCTAGATACTCGTTTACACTATAATATGCTTTAGCTACTAATAATTTACAAAGTTTTCTTTTAAAAAACATTACAATTATCCAGATTACGTATTGTTTTTGGAATTTTATTAAAAAATTTTGGAGCCATACAAAAGATACTTTTGTTCAACAACAGCTGTCTTAGAGGGTATCGTACACAATTTGTCTCGATGACGCAATCTCGTCTTATTTTCAAATAGTTGTTGATACTGTTTGACAAAAATACCAACATCGAATATATAGATTGATGGCAGGGTCATAATATTTAGTTTAATAAAATATGGCCTATAGGTATCCCTGCTCTGTAAATGGCATATGCTCCTTACACATTTTTTCTGGGCTCTAAAGGCAGTTACATAATCAGTCGAATATCCCCAAAATATAATGCTGTATCGAACAGTAGAAACTACGTACGCGTGATATGCTGTAAAGACCGTGCACTGATTCGCGATCCTACTAAGTTTGTACAGTGCACAAGATTACTGGGACAACTTTTTGCAAACATGTTCAATGTGTGTTTTCCAAGTCAAATTTATTATTATAGTACTGATTAAAATACTGATTTGATAAAAAAACGTGCTTGATTTATTTATGTCGTATGTAATGGTATTTTTATATCTTATAGCTTAAATACAATGATGTCACAACTTACCTCGGTACCTGTCACAACTTACCTCGGTGGTAGGAGAGTTGTGACAAGGGGAGTGGACTTGAATTTTGTTATTTTTTTCAGAAACTATTATACTTTAATTAATTTTACTAATGGTTTTGAAAACAGAAGGAATGGCTCTAAACTAATTCACATGAGTCATAACTGTGGAATGTTTCTTAAGCGAGATAGAGCCCCTTATGTAAAAATTGTCACAACTCTCCTAGGTCTCCCCTATACTCTTCTATACGTATTTTTCTATGTAAGCATTCTTATTATTATTATTGTAATGCCTATGGTATGAAGTACTCTGTACCTTTGGGCAATAAGAGTTTATAGTTAAACCGATTACTTTATTAAATTTTACCAAATAAAATTTGGTCTGAGATTAATATGAACTATATGAATCAAAAAATAATTCGCAATTTTTTAAGGATGTTTGCATACCTATCTAACAGAGCCGGAGCAGACGAGCAAAAAGAATTTCTTTACAGCTCACAAACGAATGCTAAAAGATCTGACGATTTCTGACGATTTGGCGCGAACGTGTATGCGATAGCTGTAAAGAGAGTAAAATAACATCATAGTTAAATATCTGGATAATGTCATAATATGATTTCATACAAAGAATTATATAACTCCCTTCTTTCGCCTCCTTCGACGAGTTCCATTCTGCAGTGCTATTCTTTTAAAAATAGAACCCCAAGCTCGATGACGAGTGCAACGCTATCAGGGCGTAGATGTTCCATAAAATACTTACTTGAAAGGGTAATGATTTAATTGAAGCTGTAAACTGTGACTGTTTTTACACGATTACTCAAAAAAGGAGTGTATTGTGTTGAATATTGGGTAAACTTTGTACCTATATTTATAAAAAAAAATTAAAATGGCGGATTTATGAGGCAGTTTAAAAAATATGAAAAGCTAGTTTTTCTTTAATTATAGCAATATGGGTATCAAATTATTTTTAGTTCAATTTTGGCAGTCTTGTTTTTTAATAATTTTTTAACAGAATTTAAGCGTAGCTGATTAAAATTTGTTATCAGTGATTTATTTATTTTTAACACGCCGACTAAATTTTGCATTTTCTTATTAGCTCATAACTTCTTTTAATATTTTTTCCCTATTACAAAAAAATATGCAATAAAGTAAAAACTTAAAATCTGTCCTTAAATGGTTCCAAATGAAATCTTATCAATTGTTTTATGCTGATTTAATAACACAAAACGAAATTTAATGTAGGGCGATTCAAACATACCATTAAAGTTCAGTAAAAAAAACCTTGTATTAAATGTTTGATTTTTTCAGACGACGCGGCATTCTCCAACCCCCACCAGAAAAAATACCAGTGTGACAAATGCAAACAGATATTTGATCAAATATCGGCATTTAAGCAGCACATGGTCAGCAGCCATAGGACCCCGAAATCGTCCAGCTCCATCGACACAAACAATTCGTCTGTCGGAGAAATGAAATTCATGTGCACTGAATGTGGTAAAAGCTTGAAGAACCAGGAGAAGTTCGAACTACACTGCATGGGCCATGGAGACCCAGAACTGGAATGCAACAAGTGCCATAAAGTGTTCGCATCGAAATTCACCTTGCGCACTCATCGCAAGATTCACAATCGCAAATATGTTTGTACTTACTGTTCGAAGTCTTACTCCGACGCAGAAGATCTGAGGGCTCATTCTGCAAAAATACACTTTATGTTTTTATGTGAAAATTGTGATTTCGCCACCAGCAACTCATCAGAGCTAACTTTACATGAGGAAATTCACAAAATGAAACCATTTGTTAAGGAAAGCAACGACAATGTATTAACAGAAGCTATAATGGAAGATGTCATGAGTGACTCGGATATCATAACTCCTTCACCTGAAGGCCATATGAAGACCGAAAATGAAGCATCCTGCTCTTATTCACTGGAAGATGAAATACAAAAAGCGGACTCTGTTATAGCTAAAGTTATGTCTAACAAAATATTTCTATTGCATTCGAAAAAAGCTAGAAAACATAGGAGATATAATAAGGTTTGTAGCAATATATTTTTATAACGTTATGTTACTAATTATAGATATCTGATAGATATCTATTTTAAATCATGAGATCATAAAAAAAAACTACATTATTCATCAATCACTTTTTATCAATTCTCTTGAGACTCCATTGAGATACTATTATTACATAATTGTGGTTCAGGTTGCCAGGAAGAAAGCTATGTAGGAATAAGGCCGCCTTTTATATACTGTTTTTCTCATGCTATTTAATATTGTGTGCAATAAAATATATTGTTATTATTATGAATAAAAAAATAATAAATCTGTCTACCAACTCTTGAGTAGTATCAAGTACTAGCTGTAACCCTCGTCTTAGCCCACGTGGTCTGAGGGCACTATGTGCACACTGACCTGCTATACTGGAGTCTTAAGTTAATCTTAGTTAAAAATCATTAGCTTATCATCATCCACACAGCTGGGGCGTAGGCCTGCCTCATAGAAAGATAAATCTACTGGTGTTTCTGTGGATAACGCGCAAGTCTTCATAAAATAGTCCAGTTGCACTTTTTTCCATTTTAGTGTGCAGTAAAATGGACACCTGCAAACATTACCAACAATGTATTCTTTCCTTTTATTGAAGTCGTTTAATAATTACGTTGTCATTTCGCTTGGATATATTTTGCTATATATTTGACTACTGTGCTTATTCTGGACTTTTAGATAAAGTCAGCTTTCATTTTAAGGGTGACTTTATCTAAAAGTCCAGAATAAGCAAGTCCACAACCGAATGCTTTGCTTAAGCAAGATTTTACGCCTGATTCTCATAGCAACATAACCGTCAGCTTGTTCTTGCTATTTCAATTCAGCATTTTCAGAGATTTTGGTGCGTGACGCCAAATAAAATTTTGCCAACGGATATTCTAGTCTTATAATTTTAAGGTTATTGGAAATAACACAAAATTAAAAACAAAAGCTAATTTGTTTCATTAAATCGGAAAAAAATGAAGATAACAAAAAATAGAGTAAAATTATCTAATGATCAGTAGCGTCAGCTAAATGTAACATTTTCGTGTACTTTGCCAACATAACATTTGTATTCAATATTAGCCACAACGATTGTACCGTATTGTATTATTCAAAACATTATTTATTTCTGCGTATTCAGCCTAAATAATTTACTAAATGATTTGGAAAAGGAAGACATAAAATATAATTAAAATGACAAATGGAATTATAAACAATAGTTGCTATGTTATCAATTTATTGCCCTATACGAACTTCCACTCCCTTTATGTGCTTTTTCTAGGGATGAGATAGACTGCAGCGGACTTTATTTAGAACTTTTAAAGGGGATCAATTTCGTAATACATGATTTTTGCGCAACTTTCACCATTTAAAAATAACCCCTACAAACAAACAAAATTAGAAACTTTACTTCTTACTGATAGAAATTACTTATAGATAAAAAAATGTACATATTAGTTGGCTGTTTGTACACATTTTTATGTATTTTTAGGCTTGCGACGTCTGCATGAAAGTGTTCGATCGAGTAGGAGACCTCAAGAGGCACCTCATAGAGCACATCATACGGAGTACTCTCGCCAAGACACCGGTCAGTAAGAACGGCACCCTCAACATACAATGCGAGGTCTGCCAATCGGAAACATTCACTAAAGTAGACAGGTACAAAGCACATCTTCGCGAACACGCCAAACTTACGTTATACAAATGCACCTTCTGCGACAAATCGTTCAGCGACTCCTCAAATTTCTCTAAACATAAGAAAATACACGGTACCACCTACCTGCAATGTGATTTATGCCAAAGGAAATTCAACTCTAAAAAGATGATCACACAACATATGGAATATCATAACAAAAACTCACCGGTTCAATGTTCGTATTGCGATAAGGTTTTCCATTTTGAGTCGATGCTTAATAAACATATAAAGTGTGCACATACTAAGGAGTTGGTAAACAGGTTCAGGTGCAGATTTTGCCACGAGTACTTCAAGACACTGAAAGAGAAATGGGACCACGAATGGACCATTCATAACGTTCGAAAAATGATAGTCGACTGTTTACTGTGTGGCTCGAAATTCAGGAAATATTCAGAACTGAAGAGACACTGTACGGAAGAACATGACATGGAAATACCTCCAGCTAAAAAGCTCTTGAAAAAGAAAAGATTCAAATAGTGGCTGGACCATGTGAACTTTTATTTATTTTTTCGTTTTAGCACTGTTGTTATTAATGTTTTTATTTTATTTATTTTGTAAACAATAATAGGCCTGTAGCTATCAAATTTCTTAATATAAACAGGCTAATTCTGCTAATGTTTACGTAATAATAGAACCACAACAACTTGCAATATACCATTATACTATAGATAATATATTTGGACTTCATGTAGACCCGAAGTCCAATATTATTAGTGCAATGTTTTCCTAACATATCAATGGTGGAAAATATATAATAATATTTGCTTGACGGAGATTGTACAATGGCAAAATATACTTGTATTTTCGACATTCTATAGAAATACAATTATTACAAATATTTGTTAATTCTGTTGTTTTACTTATATAAACATTAGCAGAATTTTCGTGAAAATAGGTGTAATCAAAATATTTGTTAATTCTTTTGTTGTACATGAGCTGAAGTAATATGAGTGTTTATTTATTTAACCGTTACGAAATATAGTAATTGTTTACAATTATTGTTTAGATGACAACGTTCTTTTTTATTAAATTAGAAAATCGTGGTTTACAAATTCGTTATTGAATATAAGTTTATATTTGTTCTATTTTTAGTTTTGATCGTTGTGGAATATCATTAAAGAATCATTGTGAGAAATTATATCTTCTTTTTCATATGTAAATGTAGTACAAGATATTTAGTTCATAAGTAAATTATTGAAAGGTTTTTATACATAATTATGTTGAAACAACAAGAGAATTGCCATACAATGTGGTTGAATTCTTTGCGTCATAATGATCTCGTGTTTTTTTTATTATTTCGTTATTCGTTCATTAAAAGAAATAATTAAAAAAGGTATTTTTATTTGTGTTATTCAAATAGTCAAATGCTTTTTTTCGGTCAAAAAATATCCTACCGGGACAATAATGAAGTTATATGATGACATCGATGGCTCTTGACTATTCGAATGTCGTCTCTATCAAAACGACAAATAAAGCTGTGATAGAATAATCTGATCCCGATTAGCCAGTGGACGTCGAAACCGATACACAATGTACAGATATTTACACGGTATATCCGCAACAGGCCTAATGAGTAATTACATTGGCTGCAATAAGGATGATATTGGATTCGATCAAAATGCACTCGACGTTCAATACTTTTTTCTGTGTGTTCATAGTGTGTTACGCAACGTAGCTCAACCCTATACGGAATGAAATCTTTAATAATATTTTGGCGTTTCATTCCTGGATACACGTTACTACCATCTCATTGGCACGTATCGCAATTCACATTTCATTACAATTATTTCCAGCGCTTGGCGCACTTACCGCGACTTTTGAATAAGCTATTATTCAATGGGAATGGCGCCATTTAATTAAAAGTCTAGCTTTTATTTAATTAAAGAGCTTTAACCAGTTGTATGCTATATTAACATATCCAATCATTACATCTAGAGCATATCAAATAGGCATATTCAATTTCCATACAAACGTTCGTCCTTTATTTCGGCTAAGAAAATCTATTAAATAGATTATTAATTGTCCACCAAATAATTATGTATTTTATGATTACTAATCAAAATCTTTTTAAATTTGATCATGATTAAGTAGTATATTATTAATCATTTCTTTTCAAGAGATGTAATTACTTAAGAACATTTTATAACTTAAGCAGATGTTTTTAACCAATAGACGAGAATTTGAATGATATAAGAACTGTTTATAACTAATAAGAGTATTCATTCTACTAACAGTACCTACTTCATTCAAATTCTTGTTTATTGTTCAAAACCTTAAAAATTTACTTCTGTAATTCATTTTACTCGACCATAGTTACGGATGAAACCCTCTTATCTATAGATGAGAAAAGTAATCGGTTTAGAAGAGTCCCAGATCTATGCTCACCTTTTTCCAACCGGGGCAGAAACTAATTCTTGCTCCCTTACCCTTCCGCACGTATTTTTTTATTACCATATTTTGCAATGTACGATTTAATTTAGGGGCTTTGAAAAGATGTCCGTCCCATCTGAAACTATGCCCATGAATTTATTTTAAAAGACATTGTGATAAGCTAGTTTTTACTGTATTAAGTTATCTTTATTTTGGCGCCCACCTGATTATGGTGCCTGCTTAAGAAAATGTCATCACTTAAGCAAATTTTTTAACTAGTGTACGAGAATTTTTTGACTCTATATTTTGAGAGTTCCAACTTGATTCAAATTCTCGTATATTTACTAAAAATATTTGCTTAAGTTATGATATCTCAATTAATTACTCTTCTTGACTAGATACGACTGTCAGAAATTGCGGGCGTTGTGTACACAAGACACACAAGTCTGCTATCTCGCGCATGACCTTGGTATGCGCGCGCGTGCGCGTCGCGTCACTTGCCACCGCGGGCCGAACTAGCCACACCGACCGTACATCGGATTTCCACATTTCCACAGTCCGTGATTACGTGCCGCGCTGGCTGCGTCTCCGAGCCGCGAGCACGTGAAAAAAAAACGCGGCCGCGTCAAAAACACATTATAACAACTACATATCACTAAAAACATTCAACATTATCAATAACTCGTATTATACTTCACCGATAAACCATCAGTTCAAGTGTCCGGATAAATTGGGAACTCTAAAAGGTTAGTACCAACAGCAATAATCTTACGATGTCACGTTTCAACAATTCAATGTGCTGCTAATAGGTAGGTACCATAGAGGGATTATTTTGCCTGTTTGTTTGCCTATGAGGCATCGTTAGTTTTTATTGCCGGCAATTTTTGAACAGCCTTTATGATCAACTATAGACGGTACAGGAGCACACTTAAAATTCCATTGCATCAGATGTATTTCTTTGTCTAAACATTGCTCTATTTAGAATCGTTAATTTAGTGTATATTTCACTCTGTTAGTGAAACTATACTATCTGTTCATAAAATACTTGTCTGTTATTTGTCTCGTTTTACTTGTTTTACACGTTTTTACGAGTCTAGCCTCTACCGATCATTTAGGAAAAATATGCTAATCGCTTAATATTTTTTGTAAAGCCGGTACCTATTCTTAAATATGTATATAAAAATTTAATATTCTTCAAACACTAGACATTTTTATTATTTATTTAAACTTAAATCTAGAAATGTGTGTGATTTTAATCATTGTCAAAGCATCACTCAAGTATATGATACTACATAAGCTAAAATTTTGAACTTACCTATATATTAACAGATTGTTAACAGATTAATTATTTACTTTTGCCAAACAAAATGCAAATATATACCTTTTTACGATATATGTCAACGTTCCATTGTAAACATGGTCATGGTCAGATTATAATCTATTGAAGATTTGGATTAGATTTGGTTAGATTATTAAAACGTAGTAAGAGTATAAACTGATAATGCTTACTTTTTACGATGTGTATCTATTTATACCATATAATATACCCTACCACCACTGGACTCAACCCGTAGCTCTACCGCTAGACTGGAGCTCAGGTTGATCTGTCAAGCTGACTAATCTGTATATCTCTCTAGTCACATCTCCAGGTGGCAAATTTAGATTAAATGACTTTTGATCCGTAGTCAATTATCATTTCACCATTCGTTAACTTGACTATAGTTAAAACCTTAACCAGTTGTTAAACCGCTATTCCGTTTTTTGATTTTAACTTAACTTTTTTATAAAAGCATATTTTTGTTTTTTATTTATCTTATATTTATCTTATAGAGAAATACGTGAAAAAATATAGAATCTAGTAACCAAGATGGGATTGTAATGTTGGAAAATAAAACAAGGAATAAGTATTTTATATACTGTAGTAGCTCGGTGGCGTAGTGGATTAGCGCCGCGGCCTGCGATAGTAGTCGTTAAACAACTTTCGCAAGGGTCGGTCACGGGATGGGTGACCAAAAAATTCTTATCTCGAGCTACTCCGTGCTTCGGAAGGCACGTTAAGCCGTTGGTCCCGGCTGGATTTGCAGTCGTTAATACCCTCCAATCCGCATTGGGCCAGCGTGGAGGGTCATGGCCCATCCTCCTTAACCATCCATAAGGAAGGCCTGAGCCCCTGCAGTGGGGACGTAATAGGGCTGATGATGATACTGTAGGCATATTTACCTTTTGTATTGGCTATTCGTGGATTTTATAAGATTTTTAATTATTGAATAATTTGGCATATGCCCGTGGAAACAAGAAAACAAATTATTTTATATAGTACAAATATACTAAGGATGGTCACGATAAAAATATAACTTATTTTCAATAACCCTAAAACCCAAAATTGTCAATGAATATTTTCCTATGAAATTGCATCATAAAACGAAACTCAAAATAACTAATGTCTAAATTCACTATGGAATCATGTAGGTTATAAAAACAAAGTAAAAAACAATAACAAGGGACCAAGTAAATACAACGCAGTTGTACATCTGTTCTTTTAACTATTGGTCATTTGCTTAGCTTCCAGTGATGGTAAAATTTTTCGACCAATGGTTGGAATTCTGACAATTGGTTAGGCTAACTTTTAATCAAAAAACATATTTTTCTGATTTTTTAACAAATGGTTGAGTTAACCACGGATCAAAAAACTGGCCCTTAAGTTGATAATGTAAATGACATAACCCTCGTGCTAAAGCACGTACAGTCTCTAACCATAAGATATGACATCTTAACGATGGTAAATCATACGTTATCATATTTTAATAAAAACCATGTCAAAGTTGTAAAATGAAACGAAATATCGCCATCGTTAAGATGTCATATCTTATGGTTAGAGACTGCATGTGAGTAGCATAGGATAGATTTAGTATCCTATGGCTAGAGCTAAGCGGTCGCATGCCTGATCCTCAGGGTGGAGAGGTGGCTTCAGTGACACGGAGGTGTCACTAGTATCTTCTGAAATATACGTAAACACAAATAAGATTAATTGAAGTAAATAAAGTAGGTAGTTTTTACTGCACTGTCCGTTATTTTATTACTAAGCGCTTGAACCTTGTCCATTTAATAGTCAGATAAAGATATCAGTAGGAGCACAGATTATATACGGGTCAGAGGGTTATCGCCTACTTGATCATTAGATTAATTTAAATCCTAAGTTTGTATTTGGAAAATAACAAAATTAATTTAGACAAACTATTGCTATTTTCTAAAGGTTTTATCATCAATAATATCGAAAGTACAATATAAAATTCATAGTTTTCAAACGATTAAGGTTTTATGGGTAAAATATCAACTAATTAACGATTTGAAAAAGGTTATTATTTCAGTAACCGGTTTTTAGAATAAACGGTGCTAATCGATCAGTCACTTATAATTTATTAAAAAATAATCTTTAAAAAAGTTATTCGGTGAGCTTGCATTCAGTGAACTGGTGAAATAGTATGTAATGAGCTAGTGCGCTAGTATTCAGAGAGATAGTGAGCTAGTATTCAGAGGGCCAGTGAGCTAGTATTCAGTGAGGTAATGAGCTAGTGTTCAGTGAGCTAGTGAGCGTAAGCTTAATTAAAATTATAGTATATTAAGTAGTTAATGCGTGAAAGACTAATAAACATACATCCTCACTACCTTTCGCATTTATAATATTATTAGGATTTACGTTTAATCCTACTTTATGTTTAATAGCTATACTCTCATTAGAGAAATCAACTATTTTTATTTAGTAATTTTAAGAATCTTAATAACCGATATTAAATGAGCCATTTCAAAACTATTTAGGTAAATATCAATAATAAATTGATTATATTGCACACAATATACATTTACATAAATACGTATTACAAGAGCAACTATACCAATTCAGTAAAGAAACTGTGAAGAATAAAAGAAAGAAGAATTAGAAAATCATAAAAGTAAATACACATATATTAACACAAACTATATATATAAAACAAAACAGAATACGATATCAGCTCGAGGAAATGTTTCTTGACATATATAACAAAGAACTCCCGTGATTGTGGACGTCTGATATTTACCGGCAGCGAGTGCCACAGTTTAATAGCTCTGATATAAAACGACTGAGCAATGAAATCAGTTGTGTGGGGAGGGATCACTAAGGAAAGGTTATCAGAAGACCTCAAGTCTCAGAGAGGATTAGAAGAATGAAAAACAAAGCGTTCTTTAAGATATTGCTGTGTTTGAGGATTAAAAAGAATAGAATAAAGCAGCAATAGGATGTGACAGTCTCTTCTGATAGGTAGCCATTGAAGTTGGGTACGATAGTCAGGTAATATGGGCAAACTTGCGTAGACTAAAAATAAATCAGATACATAAATTCTGAAGACGCTCTAGCTTATTTAGATGTATGGTACTTAGGTCAGAATAACAGGAATCAGTCAAGTAGTGGAAGGAGTAGGGTTTGCGCTAGAATGATTTTTATCTTAGTCATTAAAAGACTTTTCAGCCGTTTAAGCGAGCTATATGACAGGACACCAAATACTTTTCTAATGATATCACACACGTGATGACTCCAGGACAAATTGCAGTCAAATATTTCCCCCAGCTTTTTAACATTATCGTGAATATCTAGCCTGTGTAAATACAATGGCTTCCGATAATTGCCGAAGATTTTCGTGAGTGTCAGAGCGTGTCGTCGACTCCAAGCCAAAATATGCTCGAAAATTTAAATTATAAATGATTTTTATAGACTTTTCACTATTTGAGTTAGGTATTAGTTTGTGTGTAAACAATATACAATATATAACGTCTAAACGATTCATTTTGTTTAATACCACTGTATTAAGCAAAACGCGACCTCGTATGTTCCGATAAGAACATACTATATATATGTTATCTGTCCGCGGTGTGTCAATAAAATTATTATAATCTCAATAGCCGTAAATCCGGATTGTAAAACAGTGAATAGTGATAGGATATCGTTAAATAAGCCGGAGTAATAATAGACGGAAAGCTGGTGACAAAACTGTGCAACAGATTTCTAAAGATATTTCAGTATAATGAAGTACTGAGGGTATCTCTGTACAGACTATAATGATTATAACTGATAATTTGATTGATATTATGTACTCGTAGGCTTGATGCAATTGTTTCAAGTAATTACCTAGTTGAGAAAAAATACTCAGATTTTCATTTGGAACAAACACATTAAGCAAACCCTAGAAGTTTGATTCGTGTTATCCAAAAAAGAGATATACATAGTTCACAATGGCGTTCTGACAGTTTACATTAAAGCTTTGGGTATAATTAAGCTTTATTTATCATCGAATAAGGGACTACAAATTGCATATTTCATGAAGCATATGATAATGTTTATAGAGATTCCGTCTTATTTCTTTTATATTCAAGTTAAAGATGTCTGTTGAAACTTGACGCTGACATCATACAACTTATTGACTTAAGTATGAATAGCTTAGCTTTATACTTACACGCATTTTAGTATCCGACCGAAAGTAATTTTACGACCGAAACCGAAACCGAAAACGAATTTCGGCAATGTTCACAGTTTCGGCTGAAACATAAACCGAAACTTCCTTACAAGGATCATATTTTGAGGGAAAAATAAAGAAAAGTTTTAAGTCGAAAAAAAGAAACAGAAATAAAATCTCATCAATTGCATATCAAATCGTTCTCATTTAATTACTTATGTGTGAAAATAATTTTACAAAACAAAATTAATAGAACGTAA